CCCCAAAACCCCAAAACCCCAAAACCCCAAAACCCCTAGTAATTCAACGAAAATAGAATTTTATTTTAGTTTATTTAGCCAAAATGGTAGGCAAAAGAGATCATTTATAGGAAATCAATGAATTAATTCAAAAGTTATCATCCTTTGTTGATGATCAGTATAAAAAGCCTCAAACAATGTCCCAAGCCCAGATTTCACTGGAAGATATTTTAAAGAACGACTCTCAGAAAATCCTAGAAGTTGCTGAAGATAGCAGTAAAAGAAGCCAGCACGATAATATTCATTCTGTAATTAAAGAGCTTTATAAAGAAAGTGAAAGCGATGCGAAATCTATTGATACTCCTAAGATCAAATAATATGATATACAGAGCTTGCTGCTCAAGAGAGAAAAAGAAATTTGGTAAGATTAAGACACTTTTCACGTCTGTTAAATCCAAAGCATTGCGAGATGAATACATATAGAAGATCTTAAGACTCGAAACCAAGCTCCTAGATCAGTCAGGTGCCATATAAACACTGTAAATCGGCTATATGAAAGTCAGAGAGGGTACGACAGACGTGTTGAAGTCAGCAAGTTGCTGTATGAACAAAAAATACTTGGAAACAATAAGCAGAGACCTCGTATTAATAACCACAGTCGCTCAATTGTGCGGAAAATTAACAAGTGGAAGCCAATCTACAAAAGAACTCCCGATATTGTAGCAAAAAATAAGAATTACCTTGAATCTAAAAGGAAGGAAAATATGGCTAAACAAGAAGAGGAGGAAGAAAAGCAATGGAAGTTACTCCAATCAAAAAGAGTAGATGCTCATACTAAAGAGAAAAGGAAGAATAGCAAACAATGACAGCAGTATTACACAGAAACAGTTGTTCAAGGCCTTAAAGCAAAAGAACTAAAGCTTAAAGAGAAGAAGGAAATATACCATCCACAACTTCCTGGGATCCCTCATATTAATAAGAGAGGTAGGAAACAGAATAAAGGGGAATTTGGAGAAAGACTTTATAGTCATAGTGAGAAAAGAGAAGAAAAGCTTAATCAATTGATAAACGTGTCTCTTAAAACTCATAGTTTCAAGCCAAACATTAATAAGCACAGTAAAAAAGTCCTTGAAAGATCTGCACGCAGGAAAAATACTTCTCGGAACAAGGATCTATATCACCTTCACAACTCAGTAGAGCGAGCAAGCAATTGGATACAGAGCTATTCTACATCTGATGATAAGGTTAGAGAATTCATCAAAGATTGGGGAGAAAAGACTCTAGATACAAGAAGTGACTCAAAAAGAATGGAATATATGACTAAAAATTCAGAAGACACTTTTTCATCAGGCAATTTCACTCTCCCTCAAAAGTTTGATGACTTCAAGGGATTTATAGACTCCTACGAAGCCAGTTTAAGCAAAGCTATTCTTGTAGAAGAAAAGTATGGTACAAAACAAACGGTTTATGAACCGACTCAGGAGGTAACTGAATCACAAGAGGTTTCAAATTACTATGAAAGGAACCCTGATCAAGTAGAGCCTAATGCTCAGAATACAAAAGATGGACATTATGGTGATATTAACGGTAAGAAATTCAGTTTAACCTCTAGAAAATTACCAGACATCCCGGTTCAATGAAGAGGCTCCAAAAGAAAGTGAGAATAGCAAAAGTGAAGAAGATCAAGATCATACTTCAAAATATCATTCAAGGATTGAAGATGGCAAAAGTGGACCAATCTTGAATATCACTGTTAGTGATAATTCAAGAATTAATCCTATCCACAATGAAGGTCAGAGACAAGATGAATCAGGTCAAAAGTTTTTCCATGATGAGATACCCAACCAGCCCAAAGAACAAGTGGATAAGGTGGAAGGGATTGAGAATCTAAGTCAACATGAAGAAATACATCAGATTTTCGAGAATTTCAATAATGAAATCAACGAAGAAATAAAGCAAAACTCCAGTCAAGATCCAAGAGATAAGCAAAGCTTAGAAGAAAGTAAGGAGTCGATCATGGAGGAGATAAATGAGCAGATATCTGATCTTTCAGTTCAGAATAAGAAAATAGTTCAGGACTTCCTCAATGAGATGTTCGATAACTATGCAGACCAGGAAAGCTCGAAATCACAGACCTCAATTCCTTCTCTCCATCATAAAGGGACTGAGAAAAACTCTAAAAGGGCAAGTTTTACCCCAATGAGTAAGATAGAGACACTACGAGATCTTGTATCTCAGTTACAGAACAGGAGAGCTAGTCACGCTCCAGGGCAGCACATCGATTCATTCTCATCGCAAAGTAAAGAGCAGAAGAAAGTTCTGAAATCTAAAACTTCAAGACATAACCATAAGGAAGAAATTGTGGTTGAAAATCTAGAAAAAGAACCTTCCCTAAAAGAAGATGGATTTATCAAAATCTCTGTTGAAGAGCACAAGAAGTTATTAGAACAAGCCAAGAAATTAGAAGATTTAATCCAAGGAAACTTCGAGGCAAATCAGATTTTACCATCCCAACATGATGAAGTAAGTCGGAGGCTTGATAATGATGAGAACTCTAAACTGAATATTACTCAAAGCAGTCATACTCAAAGCCTACAGCATAACAATTCTGTGAATGAAAAGGTATGTAAAATAGAAAGTAAAAGCACGCTAAGGCCAGAGCATCATCCGGCTGGCTCTCGTAAGAGGATGAGCCAGCCAAATTTCCCTCCTGAGGCTCACAAGAAAGCTGATCTAAGAAGATCCAAACTAGAAACTAATAGTAAAAGAAGTGGAAGTAAATCCAAAAACAAACAGAAAATTGATAAAAGTGGAACGCAAAAGTAAATTAATAACTAAATATAAAATTTAGAGGGTCTAAAAAGGCTAAAACTGGTAAAAGCCATCAAGTCAGTGCGAAAGGCCAGCCTAGCGTACCAATGGTCGATAACCAGAGACTCCAGGACTTGATAAAGGCTCAGGAGCTTTCAGCTCAGCCTCAAGACAAGATGTTACCTCTGCAAGATCAAGATGAGTTAATGAAGCTTCTTTCTGAGGAAGAAGCTATAGAGCAACAGAAAAAAAAGAGCGCCCTATTTAAAACAGAAGAAAGGAAGAGCCGTGATTCCTGGACTGAGAAATGAGAGCTTTTAGAAGAAAGAGTCAGGAGCATCATCAAAAATGAAAATGATGATCATAGTGAAAAGAGTATTCAGAAGAGAAAGCTTCTTGGAAATCTCCTCAACTACGCAATGAGTGAAACCAGGTCTGCAAGAGAAGGATCTGAAATCAATGGGTCTGAGAGGAGCTTCAAGATCCCACCTGAAATTCTTGATGAGCTAGAGAAGCTAGGGTTTGATACACTTAAAATTCTTGGAGCTGTCATGGATCAGTTCAGCTATTTGTTCGTTCAGAAAAAGAAAAAGAAGAACCACAGAAAGAAAGTAATCTAATTTCAATAATATAGTGATATAAAGGGGTTTTGGGGTTTTGGGGTTTTGGGGTTTTGGGGTTTTGGGGTTTTGGGG